CTGTGATGGACAGAGACCTGTCCAGGTGTCTCTGTGATGGACAGAGACCTGTCCAGGTGTCTCTGTGATGGACAGAGACCTGTCCAGGTGTAAGCAGGCAGGAGAAACTGAGCAGAAATGTTTTATTTGTCAGAAAACTTTTAAAATTTTCTTAATTTTTTTAATTAAAAATCTTTTTAGGTGAATTTTTGTTCACAGGTTTTATTTGTTGAAAACTATGTTGTTGTTGTTGTTGTTGTTGTTGTTGTTGTTGTTGTTTATATTGCCTAGCATTTTTCCTAACTTTTTCAATCATTTCATAAACAAACATTTTGTTTAATTGTGTTTTTTACGAGCTATTGTCAAAGTGAAACATTTTTAAATTTAAAATATAAATGTTTTCATCAACAGAATGTGCTCAGTTCTTTGATTCTTACTTTTTATTGTTGTTGTTGTTGTTGTTGTTGTTGTTGTTGTTGTTGTTGTTGTTGTCAGAGGTAACCCTCCTCTGATCTGAAAGGTTCTGTCTAATAAAACATCTGCAGGAACAAAGATCCAGATTTTTCCCACCAGAACCAGAACCATAAAGTCTCCAATCTTTCTGCAGACGGTTCTTATTTATTTGTTTTTAATCAGGTTTAATATTTATTTTGCTGCTTTTGTTGATGTTTATTGTTGACGACGACTGCAGCTTCTGACGTCGTCCGTCTTCAGGAACTCCTAATTAAAACGGTTTCGGCTCGGCGGATTCTTCACCCCCGAGAATAAAAGCCGAGCCGGACTAATAGAAAGACTTCATGGATCGGATCCCCAGAGAGTTCTCATCAGGAGAGATGATGCAACCTGAGCAGGATCCAGGTGCGCTTTGTTTATCTGTTTTTATCAGCCGAAGGTGGGAGAAGGTCCACGAGGAGCAGCCGAAGCTCAGACTGAGGCAGAACTCCGTTTCTGCTTCTGGAACTTGTTTATTCGGTTAAATCTGCTCGAGCCAAAAATCAGCTTTCAGGAGCCTCAGCTCGCTCAGCAGAGACAAACAAACAAACAAACAAACAACAGGAAGTCTGTTCATTTTTCAGGCTGACCCAGGACCCACACAGGCGTCCAGACGGACGTGGCCCAACAGAACACAAACGGGTCGAACAAGTTCTGCACCAACAATGAGAAGGTAAAAAACAACTAAACTGTAGACTTCGTTTCTAAGTCGGGTTTTAAAATGAGCCAAATCCAAACAAACAGAACCGGGTCAACCGGGTCTTTTACCAAAAACTGAACCAGAATCAGAGAAAACCTGCATCACTGTGCGAAGCGTCAACGGTCCATCGTTCTCCAGATTCTTCACAAGACAAACACATTTCAGACAAGATTCACCCTGAAGGTCAGACCGTGCAGTGCTCAGACTCTACAGGCCTCGGTCAGCAGGTCAAAGGTCATATATTCTCTGGACTGTGACTGTTGGAGACCAGATTAGAATGATAAGACAGCAGGAGAATAAAAAGTAAATAAAACTGTTAGTCCAATCAGCTGCAGAGTCTCGAGCTCCTCCGTTTAGTTTCTGTCGTTCTACAGACGTTTTAGTTTAGTTACGTTTTGACAACAAGCCCGGCAGATTTTGGTCTAAATGTCTTTTAACAGAGTCCAGGTGAAAACTTCTGGTTTTTCTCAGTTTTTGTCTCCGAGTTTTTAACGGTCACAGATGTTTACCCACAATGCACTGCAACAAACAGTTCCTCCCAGCTGTCAGCATGGTGGTGGAGGCTGATGGTTTGGGTTCCTGTCAGTCATTGAGTGGACCAGAACTCCTCTGGAGACCAACGGGTTCTGGAGTCAGATGAGTCTATCTGACTAACAGCTGAAGCTTGGACCAAACTGGGTCCAACAGAACCATGACCCAGAACACAGCAGCTGATTGAGACACCAAGAAACAAACCCTCAGAACTTTCCCTTCAGTTTACTCTGCAGTACAACAAAGCTGGACCAGCTGGCTCTTCTGAGGTCACAACGCTCAGCGTTTGTGCTTCTGCTGCCTCGACCCACTTTTCATCAGCCCCGCTCATTCAATGGGGAGGGTCCAATTGAAAAGCCCATGTATCGATTTGTAAATGTGCTTCCATTAAAGTCCTGAACATAGAACCGACATCAGCGAGGCGCTTCATGTGGGTCACATTGATTAGAACAACAGAATGGGATGACGCCATAAACTCAACACAGGAGGTTCTACAGGAACAGGAAGCTGGCTCTTACATCATTCATAACAAACTCAACACGTCGCAGCTGATCTGTACAACAACTGAGCAATAAGATCTTTATGACGTCCACAGATTGTTATATTTTCAAATATCATGAGACGATAAAAAGAGTCTCCATTTATCTCCCCGCTCCTCTGCTAATGAGTGCTGGTGTCGTTCTACGCAGATGATACTGGACTGTACCCGCCTGTACCAGACTGTACCCAACTGTACTCAACTGTACCCAACTGTACTGCAACCGACTGTACTGTACCCAACTGTGCCCAGCTGTACTCAACTGTACCTGACTGTACTGTACCCAACTGTACCCAACTGTACTCAACTGTACCCAACTGTACTGTACCCAACTGTACTCAACTGTACCAGACTGTACTGTAT